CCCGACCATTTTTTGAAAACTTGAGAATCTCTAGAATTTGAATAAAGGTAAATAACAGTGCAAAAACTAAGTTGTTTTGATAGAAAATTACACACAGAATTCAAATAGAAGAAAATGTTAGTCTTTAGTGGTTAAAAATGCAGATCTCCTGAAATCTCATTAAATGAGACCTTAACGAGATTTCAAAGCTATATGGAAAAGCCACTATTAGATAGATGCCTTCACTAGGCTATTCTCTGTACTTGTGTCCGTGCCTCATTTTTGAGTAGCGAGTGTAAATTCTTTTCGGAAACATGATTATGTTTTCCCTGTAATATGAATTGGAGATATCTGACAATGGATAGCCTAAAATATAAATTTTGTGTTTTTGAACATGTGGAAATATCTTGAACACTTTAAAACTGAAGTGCAGTTCCTATTAGGTCGTTCAGTTTTCTTGTTTTTGTTCTACACAACACTTGTGTTTAATAGCCACGCGTAATTATTAATAAGCGTAATCAGATTATTTCAAGCGTCGAAATAGCTTATTTTCCTCGACGTATCTACACAAACCTATTCACTTACCGTTATATTGAGCGATCTAGATGCGTCAATTATAATTATTTTCACTCATCGGCTTAAATGGCCCGCGATACCTTTTATTTCATTCATTTGAGACGCAATTGATATATTGGCAACAAATCAAATGTTCTAAATGATTCTTCTTCATTTTGGAATGTTTCTCCTTCCTGATATTCAAAGATCTGTCTCAAATATTATACTTTACATTGATCACGATTCTTGTACTTTCTGTCTTTACGACTCCCGTTCACATTTGCAAGAGTTGTTGATTGCATTGCCTTGGTCGTTGGTCGAACTTCGATTCCAACTTAATCAGATTAATCAATTAAGAAATGTAATATCATGTTTATCCAAGCAAATAATTGTAACAACTACATTATTTTTTAGCAGTTTTGACACCTAAGCAGGGTAGCCTAGTGGCGTAGACTGAGGCTACTTTGCGGTTGAACGTCGTGGGATACGGAGGTCCCGCGTTCGAGCCCCAGGTACGGAGTTGTTGATCATTGTCACTACGGACACCCGGTCCGAAGGTCCAACCGTTTACCGGCCCTTGGCATGGGTTGGTTCTCTGACCGCTCTTGCCGGAGACAGATTGTGAGACTGTGGTTGGTTCCTCCACTAACGTGCTTTAGTAAACTCCGGGAGTCATATAGTATGGTAGCGGGCCCCCACCAAGGGCAGTAGTGGAACGACGCGAATCGGTCCCAGTATGGTTGCCTTGCAACTGAAGAGACTCGAGGAAATCATGCCATTCGCAGTGACCCAGAAAAGACTTTTGCTTCTTAATTTGACGTTTTAATTCATTTATTTACATATTTTATTCATATTTCCAGGCAGTTATGATTTTTATTGGTCAAATGAATGAACGAGACATATAGATACTATTAAATCCATCTAGATAGCATCAAAACCATAATTTGATTTGTCGGACATATATAAAATAACACTTGAAAACACGACACACATAGCTGCAATATCCGTATCATTTGGCACAGTCGGTTCCAACGCTCTATCATTTTGTGCGGTCATCATAAGATAAGGAGGTACGGTTGATTGGACCATGGGCTTTCAACAGAGTCAAGAAATTGGCAAAGTCACTATGGGTCCCAATTGAGAATCAGTTCAAATCAAAATCAAATTGAGAATCAGATGACCTGCTAAGTCTAGTATTGATTTGCCCCTAAATAGATATTAAAGGGGCGCTGAATATTGGACTTAGTTAATGAGCATCATTTTAAACTGCCAATTAAAACGTGTATTCAATGTTTCAAAATAATGAAATATTGGGCAAAATGATTGATATTTCGTTTGTGGAATGAAAACTGATGATAGAGATAATATCAGTAGCCAAAAACTATAAGCAATTTAAACATGGAAATGATGCCAATTTGGAAGTATTATATGAAAAGAAATGTTTGGGAAATGGTTAGAAAATGAAATAACTTCAGAATTAATGGGAACATTGAGGCACACATTGATAAAAATCACACTTGGAAAGATTTTGGAAAGATTTAAAGTAAAACAAATGAATGCAATTCTTACTATCTCCATGAGAGCATATCTTGGTCTCTCTCCATGACAACAATTTTTGGCCCCATCAGCACAAGACCGAAAATACAGTAATTATCAAGTTCAATAAGAAATGTGAAACTCTATATTTAATAGCACAATTATTTATTTCTACCAATGAAACAATACAGTTTACTTCAGAATTTACCACGGTTAAATATATTTTATGAAGTACAGGGTTTACCATACAGAAATTGATGGTTAACTGGAATTAAGTTTGTTGAGACGACCCCTCAATCCTAAACGCCTAGCATCAGTTTAAAAATTTCTGGCCGCAACTGAGATGTAAAGATGTTCAAAGATTTTAAATTAAGCTTCATCTGAAAATATGTTTTTGCGCGATAATTAATTGAATATGAATATATAAACAACAGATTAACATCCAGTCTCATATTAAAAAGTTTAAAGTTAAGACATTGTGGAAGTAAATAAAAATGATTTTTTTATTTCCAAGACTTGAAATTCCCGCTGTAACCCTATCACACCAAACTAGTTCTCACTACGTTCTCGAAAACTGGCTTAAACTGTACACGAACGGATTTGACATACAAAGAACCCATCAAGAACTGTTTGGGATCTGTTTACAAACTTCATGAAACTACTCGAACGAGTAAGTCCTCCAGAAATTAGAGCATGCTCACAATTTTCTGGTGATCGTCACGTTCTACAATCAGAACGAGTGACAACGTACTTAAGACAACCTGGACGCACTGGGGACACACTATGAACGGAAGTGTCGTACGTCAATCCTACTAGGGAAGTATTACGACGTTGTGTAGTCAGCGAGCTATCACACCAGAACCAGTTGTCACTGCGTTCTTCAAAACGTTGCCTAATCGGTTTTAAACTGCGTGCGAACTGAATGAACGTAGCTAAAAGACGTTCTACGGTCTGTTTACGAAAATCATGGACTTTCCAGGACGCGGAATGTGATTTAGAATTTTGAGGTGGCGACCATACCGTTCTGTAATCAGGTCATGATGACCTTCTCGACTAAGGGACGCTTTATACGACGTTGCACACCGACGTGGTGCGACCTGAACGAACTGTGAATGAGATGGACGTATTGAAGACTGTTTATGAACGAAGTAGCTAATTATTTTAGACATATTTCCCGACCACAGCCAGATTGAGCCCGTTTTACAACGTTTTCGTAGGACTGGCAAGAACGGTTAAGAACTAGTTTGGTGTGATAGGGGGGTAAAGATGTAGTCCCACGCGGAAGTGCACGTCATAAAACTGATGGGTTAAGGCAATGTGCCGTCCCACTGGCACGGATTTCGGTACAACGCACATCGGTTTGCCTTTTCGGCACAATGCGTGTCGGTATAATGGGTTTCGGTATAATACGCGTCCGTATAATGAGGTGATCGTTGTAACTAGTTAACTACGTTCATCCAGTTTGCACAACGTTTAAAACCAGTTCGGCAACGTTTAAAACTTGGACGCAATGACAACTTGTTTGGTGTGATAGCTTTTTTTTGTTAATTCATTCATAAGCTACGAACGGTGTACTCACTACTGCTATCTACGACTGACTGCACAACGTCGTACATGCGTCCCTAGTCACTAGGATTGAAGTTCGACAGTTCAGTTCGTAACTGTGTCCCCTATGCGTCCACTATTTTCATTGTGTCTTGTGTTTTCATTATTTTACCACTTTTCTCAGTCGCCCTTCAGTATTTGTTCTCGTTCTTTTTCATCACGTTCCTTGTAAAAAAGCTAATTCAAAAGTCAAATCGTTTTTAAATTACTTTTACCGATTTTGAGATATGGTTTATTCAGTTTGAACACTGAAAAGCCAAGGTCCAAATCCAGGTACAATTTACTAGGGTTCTCCTTTAACGCGTGAGTTGCGGAAAAGGTGGAGAATTTTCTCAGGAATCCGAATCTGAAATCCGAATTGAAATCCGACTTCCGGTTTAGATTCTATGATGATTTGAAATTTCGAAAAAATTAATATGATGATATTCAAATATTAAGTCATGGGTTAAGTCAGCTACGTACTCGGCTACCTACTCAGGTACTTACTTAGCAATCTACTCAACTACTTACTCAGCTTCCTACTCAGCTACTTACTCAGCTTCAATCTGAAGTCTTAAATTGAACTCAATTTGAACTCAATTCAAATTACCATTATATTAATCAATGGACTAGTAAGACCGAAATTAGAGTACTTAAAGGCAGAATCAGATATATAGGGGTGACAAAACCACAAGCAACATGTACAATTGACCCACCAATCTATTCTTTACCATCTCAAATACGATATCTCCAAAGAGATTCACGATATGTTATAAATTGGTGAAGTTATTACGGATTCAAAGTGCAAAGATGTTGCAAAGAAGGTGAAAAATGTTTAGATTCTCAAAGAATGGTAACCATTCTTATAGAAAAATAATACATTTATTGTAAAAATCTTTAGTTTTCCTGAGATAAAGTGTGCACTTTGGGGATTTTTAGAAAGTAGACGACAAGGAATGACATGAGCCAGAAATATTCTAAAATTACAATTTTTTGTTGGCCTGCTCGCTAGATCTGATTCTCTCTTTAAATGCGAAAATCTTACCATATGCCGTTGTATTTATAAATTATTTCAAATTTAGATTCCGTTGTCATTGATCGAAGACGCTATATTGTGGCGATTCACGAAATTGGTATTTCATATGATACATCATCATAAGAGCCAGTGTGAAATACAGTGGGGCAGCAATTACGATAACTGCAGTTTCCGTAACATTAACAAACAATTTTACGATCATATCATTTTCTTCTAAATGTCATCGGATACAGGGATATTACACACATATCATTATTACGGTATCGATGATTTTCCTGAATTTCACATATCCATCGATGTTTAATTTCAGGGAACAGTTTAGTGATCTACGTAATTGTGAAACAGCTTGGAGTTGAAGACGTTACCAACATTTTTCTATTCAGCCTTTCCTTGGCAGACCTTCTCGTCATCGTTCTCTGCGTACCTTTGAGGGTATGTATTTCATTACGTCATCAAATTAAGAGCACATACATTTTGATATAACAGTATTTAAGACATGAAAGGTCATGAGTAGCTTCATCTGAGATATTTAAAATATTTTATCAGCATCAAAAACTATAAAATCAGCTGAAATTGACAGAGGGTAGTGTGGCTAGCGTGTTATAATGCAGGGTAATACAGTTCTTGTACTGCACTACTTCTTTCCATCGCTATCCGTATGTCTTCTTATGGTTTAGAATGTTGCCCATTTCTCATACGGATGGTATCTTGGAGGAGCTATGTGTAAGATACTATTCTACGCTAACCAGGTGTCGTTTTCCTGCAGTATCATGACACTTACTATGATGGCTATTGAAAGGTAAGTTACTTTAATATCGCCATTTTGGCTATTTGTTGTCCTCATTCTTCTACTAGTCATCCAAACGACGATTTTAATGGAGGGGTTATATCAACGTTGCAGCAAAAGATAGACAATGTAAAATCTTGGAAACAATGTTTTAAAAACATGCCAGTGCTTCTCAGGACAACATTGTCTGAAAATGAGATATATATGTTTTGGAGGTTGGAACGCAAAAAATCCAAAATTCATGATCAGGAACAATTACTAAATAAGCTGAAAATCACTGAATTATCATGTTAGACTTTTCTAGATGTGACAAAGGGAAAGCTATACTCAACCCGTCCCTAATCTTTGTTACACCTGTAGTAAACAAAAAATAAAAGTCAATAGATATCTCCAAAACGGAACAAGAACTGTATTCCCATTGATAGTGAGATAACTATACTGCTGGATCAAATAGAATAAAATCACAAACAGCAAACGTCTATATTAGATCGTTTACTAATATTATGTTCCAGTATTATGAAAAGATTGTTTTTGAATTGTTTCTGATTTACAAAGCAAAATGGCTAAGTTTATGACAACTAAATATTAGAAATATCTCGACAGAATGTGTGATCTGACATTTATCTTTCTCGTTTGACATAAACGAGCTCGATTACACCCGTGTTTTTTGATATACGATGCATATTCATGATATCGTTTTCGATACTGAAGAACCGGCCGTCAACTCTAGTGAAGAAAAATGAAGGCATCGGTCTTCAGTTGAAAGAACTTGTTGTTTCTTGATTGTGAGAAGTGTCTTTCAGGATATAAAATAATTGATATTTCTACTTTTATTAAGTTCAGGTAATGACAGATGTCAATTAGCTTAACTGCGTGATAGATTACTTTTACATCAGTCACAACATAAAGATAAATGCCTCTTGAAAATAATTCAATTTTGATCTGTAAATATTTCTCGCTCGTATTACTCTTTCTGCTCTTTGTAATGCGTCTCTTGATTGTTTTCCTCCGATTGGCTCGGATTAGTTTATTGGCCTGCATTATCTTAGCTATGACTATTGTGCAAGACTAACCCTGATATAAAGAAAAAGTTGCGATTTGATGGGATTGCCCGCGTCATCCTTATTCAATTCCATTACGAGAGATACCATATGATCAACGTTGCAAACATCTCCACTTTGGAACCCTGTTTAAATCCTAATTAATTTGAAATGACCGTGATCCCACATCACCTTCGCACGTTCGGGCTTTACTACGTTAAGCGACAGAAGGGAGCCGAGTGAACGAACATCAGCACTTGGTGGTATAAACTTTGTCTAATATGAGAGCCCACATCCCCGTCAATACTATGGAGAGTCATTATAACAGCATTGTGATAGCTATAATTAATCATTAAAATGTGTGGTAAATCAACAAGAAGAAACACCCTAATATTGTAAACATGGCTTCTCTTGAGAAAATCGATAACAACAACACTATTATGATATAAAAACTAGAGTATGATTAATCAAAATCCACCTTAATCCATGCCACCATACCGTGTCAAATATTCAGTTTGGGGAAATATTTTCATCCATTAATCATCACAAGAGTATTAAGCCTTCACAAAGGATGTGTAATTGAAGGACTTGGATATTGGGTTTATCCCGAGGGATATATAGAGATTATCCTATATGAGGTTCAGGATATTGGGATTATCCCGAGGCCAATATAATATATTTGCCCGAGGGCCGCAGGTCCCGAGGGAAAATACATTATATTGGCCAAGGGATAATCCCAATATCCTGAACCGACTATAGGATAATATGTTTATCCCATACCAATCTTGGTCATCTGGTTCACATTGTTCAATCGTGGAAATATTTTAGAATATTCATGCCCAGTTTTGTTTTCTTGGCCGTGGCTGGGTTCTCCTGTTCCCTCAAATATTCCCACATTTATTTTCTCGAATTTCTGATTGATTAGGTGGATGCTCCTTCAATTTTTTAAACCATCAAACAGATCCCGATTGTCTGTGTTTTCTCCATTGTCGTGTGCAGTCATTACGCGAACGTTACAAATTATGAAAAAATATGCGAGCGGCGATTATGACGTAGCGGGCAGATATAGTATATCTGCCCGCTCGGAGCGGGACGTATAGCTATATCTGCCCGCTGATGAAAATATAAGTTTTTACAAACCGGCTTTATGTACCTGTAACACGTCCAAGTATGGGATAAATATATATAATCTCTCGGGTGACCGCAAAATACCGGTCAAGTTACATGGTGACCCAAAACAGAACAGTCCAAAATTATTCTAATTGTGAATCAACCTTATTTTCAATTTCCATAATTTTGGGTCCACTTCAAACTATGGCATTATATGACAATTTTGAGTGGTTCTGTTTTTTGGGTCACATTATATTTCTCAAAAGATGAGCCATTATATTTAACAGCTGGTGGTATCTTAACTTTAACAGTTCTTGACACAGATAAACTTTTGACATCCCATATGCAATTTTTGTTCATATTTTATAGGTATGTAGCAATATGTCATCCACTGAAGTCTCGTTACTTGTGCACTCCGTCAATATCGAAGAAAATTTGCTGCGTCGTTTGGTTCGGGGCGTTCGTACTGGGCATCCCGGCTCTCTTCGCTTATGTAAGTTCATCTAACAGGATTCTGAAAAGCGTTCGCATATAATAAACGCTCGTACTCACCTTCTAAATTTTAGTTTTCAATCGTCTATATTGCTTCAAATATCTGCTTTCAGAAATATATGTTTAGATCCAAGGACAACTACACGTGCGACTTCGACTTTCAAGGTGTTTGGAAAAAGCTGTACTGGCTCTATTGGCTTGTCATATTCTTTGTCATCCCTCTCGTCATTCTTTTCTTCTCGTATGGGGCCATCAGCGTAACTCTTTGGAGGAGCGTCATCGATAATAAGGCTGCCAATGAGGCACAGAATGGGTACGTACTATATAGGTACCTTACATTGAGCATCCAGATATTTAAACTAGATCTGGTATCTCATTCAGGCATATGGTCTAAGATAAAATTTGTCCGACTGAAATATTCGTTTTTCCACCGAACAAATTCGTCTGTCCTAAAATACCTGTTGATGGTGTTGGTTCAGCTTTTATAGGCTGATGCTTTGTGAAAATTGGATTTAGAACTACTCGAGGAGGAATTTTTAGTATTGGTGCTCATAAAATATATTAATGTTTGATAATTAAAATATTGATTAACGGATTTAGTTCAAATGATATATGATGCCCTGGACTAGAATTAGTACCTCTATTTTTTTTAAATGGCTGCTGAATCCAAAATGGCCGCTGTTTTCATGAAAAGTGTACTTTTTCAAATACAAGATACAAGGAATTTACAAGATAGCTGCTTAATTCAAAATAGCTGCCAGATAGGACTATGCTGAAGAAGGAATTTTTAAGATTTTGGAAATTCAAAAACTTGTTTTCGGATTTGATCCATATGTTACAAAAATCACATCTCATTTGGGTGTTGCTTTTGCCAACAGGAGACAATACTATTATTTCGAGCACTATTTAGGTTTTGTTTGGTGTGATTTGCTAATTCGCGGGGTTGCCTTTTCTTAGTGTTGTAAACCCTCTAGCTCTTTTTGATAAATTCATTTTAATGTTCAAAGACAAACCTCCTGAATGCCACTTTTAAAACGAATTTAATTTTGGGCCTGCTGACCCTCCACATATTAAGAGCAATTTAAAAAAGAATAATGTCCGGTTAGTTTGAATCTCTCCCATAATAAACTTGACTGGAATTATCTTACTTTTTGGGTTTCTAACAAATGCTTTTTTACAATAAAAAATGGTCGAATTTAAAATGAGGGTATTTGCTTTAAACTTTATCTTATATAGGAGTAAAAGTGGAATGCCGAGAGAAAACGATTTGATGAAGAAGCGTTTAAATGTAAGTAAAATAGTTACATTGTTGATAGTACTTAGCATTCTTCAATATCATAATCAAAGTCCCTAAGTTACATGTCAAACTACAGTTAGATATAGTTACGATATTATCAGCGCCAAATCTGTAAAAACATATATCAGATACTCCGATGTTTTTGTTAAGCACAATTTTTTACCTCAGAAGAGATTTGAAATCAAAATCATCTATAGCCATCATTTTTTTGTCACTGGCGTTTGGTAATTGGCGTCTGACGTCTGAAAAATACTCAGTATTTGAAAGTGATGTCATTTTGTTATGTCAATGTCTTGTATAATTTTGGTATTACAGGTTATCAACATGCTGATCGTAGTGGTTGTTATATTCTTCATCTGTTGGGGTCCATTATTGATCATGGACGTCATTGATGCTTTCGGTGGAGCAGACTTGTCAAGAAGAGAGGGCCATAAGGCACGGGTTGCTTTAAGACTTCTCTCTTATTTTAACAGTTGTGTTAATCCAGTCATCTATTGCTTCATGTCAAGGTATGTTGAGGTTAGAGGCTGGTTATTTTAGGGTGTGTACCGTATTTGTTTGCGATCAATAACTATTCCAGCCAAGGGAACTCCGAGTAATACGAAATATCCTAAAAAATATGTGTATCATCTAAGTCTTCTTTCATAAGTTGATTTCTTCTTATTTTTCTCATCTAAGGAAGTTCCGTGATGGTTTTAAGAAAGTGTGTATGTGTTGTGGCAGACGCAAGACTGCAAGGAAATCCACGATGCACACATCAGCGTCCCCTCATGTTTACTCAAACAGTGCGATGATGGCTAGCGATACAAATGCCACTGAGCTAACTGCAGCCAACTACACGCATCGGAATCATTCGGGGAACCAAGAGAAGGCAAATTCATCAGAGAAGACAAGGTTCTAGATGTGCGTGGTAGATGCAGTGAGCAACTGAAGATTGTGGATTTAAAGAATCCATCTAGTGATAGAGCCTGTCTGTTAAATCACGTTTGATTTAGTTCGGTCAGCTGATCAAAATCAGACAATCAGCTGATCAAAATCAGACAAACATAGGTCGAATTTATGATATCGACAAAAAACTATACCATGTCAGTTGTGGCTACTTGATATACAGATACAGCTAGGCTATAGTTAAATACAAAGCCTCATAAAGTCAGTCAAAATAAAAACGAAATGCTCGAGCGTCATGTTACATTTGACATTTTGCCGACGTCCAGCCCATAACCCACTAGTAATTTACAGCATGGACTGGAACCTTCATGTTCAGGAGCGTCCCAGGACTTTCCAAAGGGTTCTATCCAGAAGGCAAAAAAGTCTCCATCATCATATCTCACACTTGAAGCCTAACTTCTCCACCTCTTTCATCAGAGCCTAATAGTCTCCTTCTTAACACCATTAATGAAATTGGAGTTGACTCGAGGAGTTGGAAGCTCAAACTTATATATGAGACAGGGTAGTTAGTTTGCTTGAAACTGTACGAGTTTCATATAAATTGGTTCATTGGTAGTGACACAGAGTCAATTCATATTTTCAATGACAAAGTTAGGTGGAGCAGCGTTATACATAAAATATCTGCTGAGTTGTGGTTCTGGAAAACCGACATCGTTTCAAACCTCTTATACGCAGGCCTTAAACATGTGTTTTTGGATCGAGTGGACAGATATAGGAAGTGCATTGCAACTGGGGTTGAATATTTTGAATGAGAATGAATATTAGCAAAAAAACTAATACAACATGATTAAACTACAGTCTTTTGACAGATGACACTACTAAGTGTTAGAAATTTCCAAAACTACAGCTTAGCACAATGTTTTATAAAAAACGCTGCTCCACCTGATTCAATCATTGAAAATATGAATTGACTCTGTGTCACTACCAATGAACCAATTTCAATGAAACTCAGAAAGTCTCAAGCAAACGTACTACCCTGTCTCATGTAAAAGTTTGAGCATCCAATTCCTCTTATTATAAAATCTAGAGCCAACAGTAAGAAACTTTTTGATCGACCCTTGTATATGGCAGTTTTATCCATTAGCTGTATGTACACCACACCAGGACGTGTCACTTGTACGTGCATTGCGTGTACCACAGTACAGTTTGTATGTGCATCACAACTTATTTTACTTATAATGCAACATACAGATTATGTGTATATATTGGCTGTATTTGAATCGTTGAAACACCCTACGCAGAGAGAACCTGACGAAAACACTCAGTGTGGATAACAATTTGCGCTCCGTGTGGAAACAACATACTATCACCAGCCTCAAAATTCAATGTTGTTTCCACACTGAGTATTCATGTTATCCACATCTACTGTTTTCTGCAGGCTCGGTCTGCATTTGGTGTGTATTATAGGATAAATGTATCATATATTGAATAACTAAAATGGCTTGAAAATGGGGAACAAATTATAATTATATTTTATTCATTGTTTAAGAATATAAAATCTAGAACTGCGCGCAGGACAGTTGCTGTTAAAAATGAACTAAATACTTGGAAGTTATCTTGCTGTCTAACGTTGCTGTATAATTTAATTTTTCACTGTCATCTTTTAACATGTCCATCTAATTTCCCGACCATTTTAGCAATGACCCTGCAAAGAGAATACTATTCTGTCAACACAGACATTAATTTTAAAATATTCTTATTCTAAAGGGTCTAGAAGGGATAGAGATGTTTTGAGAGTAAAAAAAGTGTCACAATATTTTTTGACCTACAAGGTGACTTTATTTCAGGACAAAACTTCGTTTTTAAGGTTAACTGGGAAAAATTGAAAACGTTCTTTTTCCAATCCTAACGAATTAGTATATTTATGCCTCTATTTGGGAAGATTGCTTCCAACAGTTTCATTCTCCATCCCTTTGAATTCCTTTAGGATTCCTATTTCTTCCATTTCCCACTTGCTCCGAGCTCCTAACAATTTGATTAGCTGAAATGAGGACATGGGACAATTAGAACTTCTGAGGTATTACTTGAGTTGTATGACACTGAAAAAAAATTCAGGGAAGATGAGACAAGGGAATGGTCCAGCGAGAAAGATTTCATTGTGTAAAATGCATATTCTCCAATAATGATTTATAACGGGGACATCATGATGCAGGAACTGTAAACAATATTCTGTATATAAGATTGCTATCATTGAGAGCGCTTTAAGAACTATATGGATTACAGGATGTATTCCCAGATATATGAATAGAATCAATTCAGAAAACTTGTATATAAAATAATATTGTGTTATAAAAATGTATGTCTTGTGGAAATGTTTGTATTATAAAAAAAAGTAGGTTAAATATACTAGACTAGTATTGAAGAAATATTTCGTATTATGAAAAGAGAAAGATGTATTTTCTTGGTATCTGTTGCATGTTGTGTTATCAAGGTATACTTAGATGATGAAATTATCCATGAAGCATACATAGTATTTCAAATGTCATTCCAGTTATTTAATAATAAACAAGTGCATTTCACTATAAACATGCATTCACTAGAAAATCCAAGGATTATCCTTCCAATGTATTAAATGAGATAGAAAAGTTCAGAATTGAATGTCAGAAAATTTTATGGTTAATAGCACAAAAGCATAACATTTACTCATTTTATCAACTGACCTCACTCTAACAGACATGTCCATTAAATCTAAATCTTATAGTTGAGCTTTGAAAACCTTGGCTGTTTAAACCATTACCTACAGTGGTTTTAATTAAAAGACGAAGATTGTTTGAATGGAAGCAGTCTTTATTGCAGTTTTAAAGGCTACATAATTATAGTAATGGTTGTACAATAAAATATACTGTATAAAATTGGTAACATTGACATTGTTGAAATTGTCCAGAGACAGACATTACAAAAACCCATCTTTTCAAATAAATCTTATAATCCTGCTGATCCACAACTTAAAATTCTGTACAGCTTCCCATAATTGTTACCAAAACTCATAACAATAAAAAGCCATGGCACTTTATTGGTTCACTTCCATTGAAGAGGTAACAAACAACATGATCTGAATAATTCAATAAATTGTAAATCCAAAAGATGGAATTTGTAACTTCACAAAATTTGATTTTAAATTAAATATTGCCCATTGCAGAATTATTACTGGACAAATGGTTTCATGACTTTGTTTCGTGGATTTCATGTAATGTTATAGTGCCAGTATATTGTTCCCCGCATAAACCATACAATCCCACTAACAGTAACCCCATTGCTATTTTGAAATGTATGTGATTCATCATGTCAAATCATACAAATAGGAAATCAAAACATAAGCCATTCCCATGCCATGTTGCTAATATGGCACCCCTGTATGTATAATGGTGTGGGTGTTTCATATGTGGTTACTTTATGACAAGGAACATCACATTGGCACTTTAAACCAGGGATTTCATTTCTATTTCCTGGAACTTTATATTTCCTGTAACACTATCATGTATTTTTGCATGAATCACCCAAACCAATATTTAAGAACTGTAATCAGGGCCAAGCAGTCTTATAGATGGCAGCAGAAAACATCAATGACTTATAAACAGGCCTAAATGATCAAAAGTACAGAGTATCCTTAAAGTCTCTTGACTCTACACAGACTTTGTATAGAAATTGCAAAACTTTATTGACACCCTGTATATTGCAACCTCAGTTACATTTCTGAAAACTGTTACTGAATTAATTCCTATGATCAAAGAGCAGTCACACATCACCAATACAATAATACAAGACAGAAAACTGTATGATATGTATTACAACACCCTGTCAGTTGAGTTAAGATGTTGGCCCAAATAATAAATGGAACGTATATCTACTACAAACGAAACAAGGTATGAACAGGACAAAATGGAACACCTGGAAAGTGTAACAAATGTTACAGCCACTGAAGCTTAATGCTTGTCACAAAAATACTGCCTATAATATTAGGTCAACACTATTAATGCATTCATTTGATACAAAGTCTTATTTAATGCTGACATATTGCAATTCAGGGCAGTGTTACAGGAACATGTGCACCACTAAGTTACATGGATACTTCGAATCAATAAGTTTAGCAACTGTTCTGTATAAAGCCCCTGGCAATAAAAAAGTTCAATTATGATTACATTTAAATGCATTGCTTATATACAGATACAAAAGATACATATTCCAGGACAAGGTACATTACTGAGCATACATACAGAATCAAGTTTATTCTGGAATTTATACTGTGAAACACTTATATTTCAAAAGGACTGGGTTTCTTTGATTTTCGCATGATCTTAGTAGAGAAAAACTAGATGCAGTTACAACCAACTAATTGCGAAGTAGCACACACTGACAAAATTTGCCATAGACATTAAAGCCTATATTTTAGGGTGGTTTTCATACAGCATAATGTACACACTGTAATGTAGATTGCCTACTGGTTTGTTACCAATATATACAAACATGTTGTATCATACAAGACTGCTTTTCATTTTATACATTAGATAGGCCCATGTTAAAAATGACCCTACGGGATATGAACACTTTATTTTTCATCTCTAGGTTAACGCCTTTCACACGTACAAACATTAATATTATATTTACAATATTTTTGTACGCAGGGCTAATATTAACACTTTGAGATCCTATAATGTTTATTATACAAAATAATCTGCGGAAATTCGCAGTATTGCTTAGTTGGTCATGTGCTAGTATGAGGTCATGAAACAATAAGCGTTTACATATATAGATACACAGAGGACAATATGACCTCATGCTAGTACATTACCACCTACATATCCTATAATACAATGGTCAATGAGATACATTTATGCATGATACATCTACGCGACTATTTACAACTATGATGCAGATTTCATACACAAAACAAACACTTTATAACACATAAAAATCTACTATCAATGAACAATTTAAACTATCTAAAATGTGTCCCTAATGAACTAAAATGCTTTGTTTGCTGATTTTGACAGTCAGGTACATTGGCCAAGGAACAGGGCACAAATTCCCTGTTTTCACTTAAGTAATTTTTCTTTTTCTTAGCTGATCATATGATTGCGTCCTAGATGGTTTTTATAAATTAATATTGTAAAACCAACACTTGTATTCCCTACTAGTGCTATATGAAATACTCCAAGCAACTGCACTGAAGTGCAACTGAACTCTAAAAGCACAAACAAGTACAATATAATCACATAAAGGGTGGCCTTGAAAGAATCACACTAATTCTACACATAATCCAAATGTGACTCAAAAAATACTTAGTTTTACTCCACCAAACAGGTTTTTACTGTACTATTCAACAGATGGATTACATGTGGAATTCAGTGTGAAACACAAAGACAACACCAAATCAACTTCAAGCGAATCAAGTAATAATATATTACATCTGGGGTGTCATGTTTGCTGTGATTAGAATGGGTACATTATGGTCCAGAAAATGTGATTATATCACCATAGTTCCAACTACAAATATTACAAAAGTGTTTAGTGTCTACAGATAACAGTCATGTTAGACATGATAGATTTAGATATACATATATTTATTTAACACCCACAACCCGGGACCAATTTACACTTTGCCACGTTCTGAAGATCGGCACACAACATAACAGAGGACACAAGTCTGCATTCTAAGTGAGTTAAAGTCATCTACACATATGTGGTGTAAGAGATTTGGCCAGTGTAGAAAAAACTCAACATGCAGTATGTTTACTACTACTACAAAAAAGTAAATCAGTTTTCAGGATGATTTCAAAGGAATGTAATTTGTAATAGGTCAGAAATGATATTTAATGATTTTAAAGATGAATAGTAAAAAGTTAATACATTTCATTTTGTTCCCAGTTGTGATAGTAAAAAGGAATGTTAAAACATCGCATCCAAATTTAAAAAGCACCAAATAAAATCATACAATTTTTCTAAATTGACAGTTAAAAAACATTGTAAAAATACATGAATTGAAAAATAGTTCATTATATACATATTTATCTCTCAATTTGCATTTCACCATTTCCTTAAAAAAATTCTTCATGGTGAACCAAGTCCTTCTCTGGTCAAGCCATTGTTAATCCTGGAAAATCTAGAATTTTGAAAACATTCTCTAGATTAGAAAGTCCATTGTTTTTTAGAAATTTTTTGGGATATTTTTATTCTCTTTATTCTCTGCTGGATTACACACCCTGAAGGAATCTGAATCAACGGGACGAGTATCAATGAAGGCATTACACGGTGGTATCAGCGGGGGCGGGAGGTAACATCACACTATTATCATAGGTATTATCATCATCTCTCCTTTTCTTCTTTTTCTTATCTTGGCCATATAAACCAATAAAGGATCCGTCCTCGTTGAATTTTCCAGTGTCAATATCTCCATATTGGTCGAGTTCTTCGTCTTCTTCACTGTCATACTTGATGCTAGAGCTGATAGAGGCCCTACTTCTAGCACCGGGTTGGTCCTCACTGTAAGCACAGAAAATGAATGGGTTATTAATAATGAATTTTATTTTGGGAAATAAATATGATATTGGAGAAATAACATGATATTGAATAAGGAAAATGTTTTTCTGAGAAATATGTCATATTGGAAACAGGACTTAGAATGATAATGGATAAGATACAGGATTTGTATTCATAAATATCAATTTCAAAAAGTAACTTTCATTTTTAATTAATCTCATCATTATTGAAAGGTTTCCGATTTTGTTATCACTTATTTGTATCATTTTGAATGAAAAATACAAGCTAATTGACCCGCTTTGCAAAAGATGACTTACGGCCGAGTGTAATCATGGAAGCCACTGTCAGCCATTTCTTTTTCAGGATCATGCCCAGCCTTTCTCTCATTTCTGTCAACTGAAACGAAAAAAAATATCACATTTTATCATAATTATTCAAGTCAATCTAAGTTAATGGTCAGACTGGAAGTGATTGTCTCAGGCATTTGTTAATGACAGTTAGTCTTCGTTTGTTTGTTGGTTTATAGTGAATCTGATTAGTTGATAGATAGAAATGACACCTTAAATGTTGATTTATGGCAACATATGATTGATTGATTTTAACATTATATCTGATTGGTTAAGTAATGGCAGAAATGTCACTAGGTGATTGTAGCATTAAGTATTTTGTGTATCAATATATGTGATTGTCTGTAACACTAAATCTTTTATTAGATATAGACAATTACACTCAGTCTCTCTCATTCTGATAGGGTAATGAGCTAAAAAGAAAGTGCCTTACCTGGGTATGAGTCTCCTTTGTTATTTCTCAAGCAGCAGCAACAAATCAAGAAGATGATAATGATAAGCAGGATAACAGCAACAATGACAATTATATACCATGGGAAACCCGTACTTGCTCCAGTCACTCCACCTATAGGAATTAAAACAACAATAATGTAGGATTAAATATGATAATGTCACCATTTAGTAGCACATTGTATTAGAACAAGTAAATCTTATAAATAATAGGTTAATATAGTATGTTTCCTAAAATCTGATTTCATTTAGTATTTCTTTTTCAATTTTTAAAGAGCTTACCTGGTCCTATTATAGACTCGAGTCTAGCATTTGCCTGTTCAGCCCCCATAGCTGTCTGTGCCTGACAGGTGTATGTGCTGTCAGCATACTTGGCTCCCTTGTCATCCATCTGACTGGTCATGATCACTAAAGAGTTCTCATCATTCTTGAAGATCTGGTCCTGTTTGTATACAATCAGTTCGCCATCCCTGTATGGAAAAAATGTAATTTTAAGAATGCTTATATTTTTCAACATGTTTTAAAGAAGTGTCAGACATATATATTTCTGTTCTTTTTTATCATTATATCTTAGAATTTGACCGGCCCAGGTTGCTAAATGTCAAGTAGTATTTCAGATGATCCGAAGCTTTGTGTGTAACAATAATGACAATACCTTAGCCAATCAATAGTGATTCTTAGACTGGGGTCAGTCTTTGCCTGGCACTTGAATATTACATCAGTTTCTGGGTCCAACTGAACATTGGTTGGTTGAAGAACAAACACTGTTGGTTCTGAAAAAATCAAATATAACATTGAAATCACCAGGTGAAACACTGAAAACACAAGATGTAACATTGAAATCATCAGATGGAACATTAAAACCATCAGGTGTAACACTGAAATCATCAGGAGTTACACCGAAAGCATCAGGTGTAACACTGAAATCATCAGGTGTAACACTGAAAACACAAGATGTAACATTGAAATCATCAGATGGAACATTAAAATCATCAGGTGTAACACTGAAACCATCAGATGTAACACTGAAATCATCAGGTGTAACACTGATAACATCAGGTGTAACATTGAAATCATCAGATGGAACATTAAAATAATCAGGTGTAACACTGAAATCATCAGGGGTAACACTGAAACCATCAGATGTAACACTGAAATCATCAGGTGTAACACTGAAAACACAAGATGTAACATTGAAATCATCAGATGGAACATTAAAATCATCAGGTGTAACACTGAAACCATCAGGTGTAACACTGAAACCATCAGATGTAACACTGAAATCATCAGGTGTAACACTGATAACATCAGGTGTAACATTGAAATCATCAGATGGAACATTAAAATCATCAGGTGTAACACTGAAATCATCAGGGGTAACACTGAAATCATCAGGTGTAACACTGAAATCATCAAGTTGCTCTGGTAACTACAATAATGCAATAGCAACATTAACTGTAACAGCACTCTAGTGAACTGAACATTGGTTGGTTGAAGAACAAACACTGTTGGTTCTGAAAAAATCAAATATAACATTGAAATCACCAGGTGAAACACTGAAAACACAAGATGTAACATTGAAATCATCAGATGGAACATTAAAACCATCAGGTGTTACACTGAAATCATCAGGAGTAACACCGAAAGCATCAGGTGTAACACTGAAATCATCAGGCGTAACACTGAAATCATCAGGCGTAACACTGAAAACACAAGATGTAACATTGAAATCATCAGATGGAACATTAAAATCATCAGGTGTAACACTGAAACCATTAGATGTAACACTGAAATCATCAGGTGTAACACTGATAACATCAGGTGTAACATTGAAATCATCAGATGTAACATTGAAATCATCAGGTGCAACACTGAAATCATCAGGTGTAACACTGAAATCATCAGGTGTAACACTGAAATCATCAGGTGTAACACTGAAATCATCAGGTGCAACACTGATATCATCTTCTGCTGCTATTCATACATACTCTTCTTTGTGAAATAATTTTGAGGCAAGTGGCACTTGAAAATTGTAATTAGTTATTTAAAAATATGCCAAAGTGATGTTTTATACATCAAATCCATACTCAATTAGTGCAGTCAGAATGAGGGTTTGGGCGTGCGTTCAGAGGGATTTTATGGGACATAATTTTTCATGTTGCTAGTATGATTTTACATATTTTAATGGATTATTAGACCTTAGTTTTTCAGCTTTTAGATTTTGTGGCCATTTTACCCCCCATGGGCTATAATTTGGACCCCTACTATAAAATTGGGCTAGAACTCCAAAAATACTCAGTAGAATGTATCCAAATTACTAAGATATATTTGTATAGGCTAAATGAATATATGATAAAAATTTCAAGTCACATGGTGAAGTGGTTGCCATGAAAACGGATAAAACATACCCTTCAGGTGTTGATTTTCAGGCCATTTTTTCAAAAATTATAGAGTCATTTCATGCATATTTTACCATCATTGTGTTAGGAAGGGTTAAAATATGAATAGAAAACTTCTATAATATATCACCAACAATCTTATATAAAGATTAGTCCACAGGATCTCAGATTTTGGCCTTATATGGGTCCATGATTTATACAGGGGCCTATTTCACAGATTCGAACCCCCACATTGGATGGATGCTATAACTTTTGAAATAAGGGAAATACAGGTCTCATTTTTTCAGATCTTCATAAATGACTGGTTTTAAGTATTGTATCATACTTTGGGAGCTGTTATGTGATTGGTTGCTACGGTAACCAGGGTTTTATGGAAATTCGGACCCCAAAATTGGATGGATGTTACAATTTTTAAAATAAGGGATATAGGTGTCTCATTTTTTCAAGTCTTAGACAATGATTGATTTTAAGGATTGATTCAGACTTTGGGAGCTTGTATTAGACTGGTTACCATGGTAACCAGGGTTTTGTTGAAATTCAGATCCCCACAATTGATGCATGCTATAACTTTTAAATACAGGCAGATACAAGTATAATATTTTCAGATCTAAAATAATAATAAAATGTGTATATTGTATTAGACTTTGGAAGCTAGGATTTACTTGGTTGCCATGGTCACTATATTTCATTGTCATGGTAACTGTCATTTTTGTTTTTAGATTCACCTTCATTCTAGATAGGTCAATACATGATATGAAATACCAAATTGCCATTTTAATTTATAATTTTGGGATTTTTTCTATTTTATATGATTTACATGCTCATGACTCATTAAAACAAGAGATGCAAAAATTGTTCGGCTCATAAAATATTAAATACTAGTCAACAATACATGTACATTTATGTCTCACAATATTGCCTCATTCCATACCACTAGTTCTCAAAAATATTCTGACTCCTAATTTGTTCATTTGTACTCATCATTACTTTTTCATTTTGCACAATTGCCTTTTGATTTAAATATCAACCGTTTCTGTTGGAATGAAGGCTTGTTTTGACCATTTTGGAGAGGAGGATCCTCAGGGGATTTCATACATTCATGCAGTATTGGGCTTGGCAGAATGGGTTAAGATTGGTCCCTGGGGATTCACTGTATATAAAATTTGGCTGGGGTCCTAGGCTGAACCCTCAGATATCAATATGTTCCCATACCAATCTGTCAAATTTGAATGTATTCCCATACCAACCAAATTAATGCCCAAAAGCCATACCAAATGCCCAAATATAGGATCAATGTGATATCAAATATCCAGATATAAAAACATGGGCATTCAAAATGTCTAATGCCCCAAGAAGAAGGCAGATCTTTCAGGAAAACAACCCAAAAACAACCTCATATACCTCATATTAAGGATATATGCCATACTACAAGTGAGGGGTAACATATTTTCCAAGACCATTCTCATACCAGTAAGTGTAAAAATCTGACCATTGCCATACCTCAAGTCATAATTTGGAGGACATTCTCATTTCTTATGTCAGATCCTAAAATTTAGGTCTATTGCCATACCAAATGTCTGAAGTACCCCACCTGAGCCAAGGATCCCCTCAAGGTTTATATAAAGTGAACTCCCTGGGAGACTGGTGGGAATGTTTCCACTTCCACATATAGGATTTGTCATTCACCCTCTTCAAAGGTAGTGGGAGAGTTCATCATTGGCTCCAAAGTAATTCATTGCATTACATTAGCTGCTATGAAAGCAGTCAAGGACCAATCTTGAAAGACAGGAAGAGTTGAAATGTCAACACCTTCATAAGAGAGGGTAGTACTGTTCTGTTTTGGAGAATATCTCATGTGAACCAGCTCATATCATAATTTATCCTACACTTAGTGTACTAAATGTATAATAACATTAAAAAATAAATTTGATATTTATGGGCAAAATGCATATCCGGAGGATATCGTTACGATATACTCCGGGCGGAGGATATCGTTACGATATACTCCGGGCGGAGGATATCGTGACGATATACTCCGGAAAACCCAATATGCGGAGGATATTGTGACGATATACTCCGCTTGTTGATTTCCCGCCAAATTGACTCTGTTTTGCATGAAATTCATTTTGCAATGATATTATACATTTAGTACACTCCTTGAAAGTGTAGGATAATAAGAACATCCTATGATTTTTTTCAGAATATCATTTTAATCTACTCGGTGATATTGATATATGCACTCGTTCGCTTCGCTCTCTCGTGCAGATATCAATATCACCTCGTAGATAAAAATGGTATTCCTCAAAATCATAGGATATCCTATAACTATTGATGTCAGTTAAAAAATGTATTTTTGTAATTCTGCTGTACTTTTGCAGGTGAACAATTCCAACTTTGGATTTTATTGTGTCAAGAATTTCTATATTGTTTCCTATTATGAAGAAGACAACATTAAGAACCCCAACTTATGTGAACTCTGTCCCTTTAGATGTCAGAAGCCCAACCAAACCCCTGTAGCTGCAAACTTAGGACGACGTACTGTGTGAAGCTATATTAGCCTTCAATGCGCGCGTTACTGGATCTGAACAAAAGAAAAATAAATCTACTGAAACTGAAGACAAACAATTCTTAAAGTTGTTTTCTTCAATAGGAAACAATATAGAAATTCCTGAGACCATAAAATCCAAAGTTAAATTGTTCACCTGCAAAAGTACAGCTGAATTACAAAAATAACTGCCACTATGATGAGCTGTTTCACATGAGATACTAGTATTCTCAAAAACAGAGCAGTGCTGCCCTCACTTATGAAGGTGTTGACATTTCAACTCTTTCATATTTGAAGAGGGTGAATAATCAAACCTGTGTATGGAAACATTCCCACCAGCCTAAACCCAGCTCTACCAAGCCAAACACTGCATGAATGAACTATGAATTCCCCGAGGAATTCTTAATACCAGAATGGTCAAATATAGCTAAAATGATGAGTAAAAACAACTTAGTAGAATATGTGTGAGAACTAGTAGAATGGAATGAGGCAATACTGTCAGATATACATGTAAAAATGCTAAATTAGGAGTAAAATGATAATTTTGAGCAATTTTGTGTTCAAAGTTGTGTATTGACCATTCTCAAATGAAGGTAAATCTGAAATCAAAAATGAAGTTTCCATGACAATGAAACATGGTTACCATGGTAACCAAGTAAATTGTAACCTCCAAAGTCTGACAAAATACACAAGTCGTATTATTTTTTAAGTTCTGAAAAGCTGATATCTGTATCTGCTTGAATTTAAAAGTTATAACATTTATCAATTGTGGAGAAATTTCAATAAAACCCTAGTTACCATGGTAACCAATCAAGTTTCAGCTCCCAAAGTCTGATTGTATACTTAAAATCAATCATTGTCTAAGATCTGAAAAAATGAGACATGTATCACCCTTATTTCGAAAGTTATAGCATCCATCCAATGTGGGGGTCAGAATTTCCCTAAAACCCAGGTTACCATGGCAACCAATCATATGCCAGCGCCCAAAGTATAATACAACACTTAAAACCAGTCATTTATGAAGATCTGAAAAAATGAGAACTGTATTTCCCTTATTTCAAAAGTTATAGCATCCATCCAATGTGGGGGTTCAAATCTGTGAAACAGGCCCCTGTATAAATCATGGACCCATATAAGGCCAAAATCTGAGATTCTGTGGACTGATCTTTACATAAGATTGTTGCTGACACATTACAAAAGTTTTCTATTCACATTTTAACCCTTCCTAACAGACTGGTGACAAAATATGCACGAAATGACTCTTTCATTCCTGAAAAATTGGCCTGAAAATTGACACCCGAAGGGTATGTTTTATCCATTAACATGGCAACCACTTAACCATGTGACTTGAAATTGTTATCATATATTTAGTTAGCCTATACCAATATACCATAGCAATTTGGAAACATTCTACTGAGTATTTTTGGAGTTCTAGCCCAATTTTATAGTAGGGGTCCAAATTATAGCCCATGGGGGGTAAAATGGCCACAAAATCTAAAAGCTGAAAAACTAAGATCTAATAATCCATAAAATTATGTAAAATCATACAAGCAACATAAAAAAATATGTCCCATAAAATCCCTCTGAACGCACGCTCAAACCCTCATTCTGACTGCACTAAATTGTTTGTGTGAGTCAATGTCTACAGTCTAACACTTTCAGTTTTTTTTATCAAAAGTTGCTCTGGTAACTACAATATTGCAATAGCAACATTAACTGTAACAGCACTCTAGTTCCACATCTAGTTCCAATACAATAGTCTATTATGGGAAAGTTGAACATACTTAGTGTAGAATTATGCGTATCCACCATATGTTATACAGATAATGGACTTACCAAGAACATTGAGATATGCATCCCCGAATGCGTATCCATGGATGTTTGAGATGTTACATTGGACAACCATCAAGTCTGTGGCTTTTTTAAGGTCTGCTATTGTCAGGTTTGTTCCATCTGGGGATACAGTTACTCTCTTGTCGTTAATAGCTGAAATAAAATCCAAGTTCATGAAAGCCTCTCATTAAAAAATTTAATTCTAAATGAGCAGCTCCTGGGATTTAAGTTTTATCTTAGGTGTGTAATTATGAAAATTTTGCAGATTATAATATTCAATCTTTTGAATGGCCATTTTGTATTTTCATAAACTACAAATGACATAGACTGACATTTATAATCAGTTATTGGAACTGTATCATACCTTCAATTGGCTGTCCATTCTTAAGCCACTGAATGGTAGGGACAGGTTCCCCACTTCCCCTACATATGAAACTTGCTGCCTTTGCTTCTGTAGCATTCTTATTCAAAGGCTGAATTACCCATTGTGCTGCAGCTAAAATAGACAAAAGAAGAATTGAACAAAAATTCCAGGCACAAATTCATCGAAGAAATTTGTTTTGAACTATATTATTTGCATAATACTTTCCTGTAAATTGGTATTGAAGGAATTATTAGTATTACTATACATTTTATGGGTGCATTTCAATAGTTCAAAGTAGCATTACCAACTCTTATTATTTGAGTTAATTTTGTGAGCCCCCTCCCATTGATAATACTGTTTGATAAATGTTGATATAATAATTATATGCATTGTTTTTCTTAATTTCAGTCATTTCTTAATAGCTTTTCCAATCTGTACCTATTAACAGAGTCATTGTAGTCTTTCTAACGAAAGACTTTTAAAAAATACAAAGTCACTTATTTCTAATATCAATCTGATTTTCCTCATGATTTTCCCATGTTTACATTCTTTGCAAATGACGGTTGTTACTTACATTCAACATTGACCATTATTGTTCTCTCCTGGGCACTACCGCCATTGACACCATTAGTGCATCTGCACCTATACTCTCCCTCATCATCATCTTGTACTGGGCTAATCACAAGTTCCCTGCCACTATCTCTTACCAGCTGCCTTGGTGCTCCAGGCAATCTGCTACCAACTCTCTCCCATGACACGGATGGTGACGGCCTGCAAGGATGAAAGATTTTATTATCAAAGTTCACTTGGTTGCAAAGTATTACATTGTATTACACAGCCACATGAGGGTAGACAAGGGCTTTGTGCAAAACTTCAATTAATATTGTCTAAGCATTATAATTGATACCATAGGTCAAGCTTTCTTACGAAATTAAAACCTATTTTAAAATGTACATCAAAGTTATGTTTTAAAGATTACGAATTGTTATTTAATCAATACTAAAATGCCTCATCCCTGGACATCCTACTTTGTTTTGACTTATGAGGAATTAAGGATTTACCAGTGTAACAATGATGAATAAATTTACAACTTACTTGCCAATGCAAATACACTTGATAACCAATTCCTTCGTGACAAGTGCCGTAACAGGACTTGGAGTGCTCCATTCCATTTTTGCTGGTGTGTCAACTGCAGCAGCATTTATATTGACTGTCAACTCGTGGAAGCTCCCTCCGTACGATGCCAACAGGAAGCCATTGTAGGCATTACATGTATACAGACCTCGTTCCATCTGATCATTGAATTTATTATCACTCATTGTGGTGTAAGCAAAGTGGAGGGCTCCTATATTAAGAAAATAAAAAAGCATCAACATGACAAAATGTCAAATACATCAACGATCCAGCGCTGATGTGCCAAACTCTGAAAGCAGATAACATAAAAACCCTTAGACTTCACTTATTTTATATGGTTTTCATCAAGACCATTTCAATAATAAGTATATAGCTTTTCTTCTCACAAAGCATTGAATGTAAAATGAATGATATGTATTTCTAGGCGAATCGATTGAAACATTACCTCTAAATTGAAGAGTGGTAGATGAATCAAGGCTGTTTTAAATGGTTATTAAGAACTTACCTTCATCATCAATAGAAAGGCGATTATCAACTTGGATTGTAATAGGAGATGTATCTCCCCTTTCCTTAGATACAGCCCATGTTATTTTGGGATCAGGTACACTAGCAGGCAGACCATTGCAATGTAACTTCAAGGGTTCACCTTCTTTTACTGTCTTTCTAATTGTCTGATCATCGGAGAAAGGGCCAATATCTGAAACATAAATAGGATAAAATTGCTATCTAAGATACGTATAATTTTAATGATACTATTAACATGAAACTTGGGGAGGAGTTTTTGCCTAATATGACCAAAGGATGGATGCTTGTTTAAATACTACTGATTCATAGGGCCAGTGAGTGTCCAGTGATCTACTCTTATAAAGTCAAAAGATCACTAAAATGGTTCATTTGATGAAGATGAACTTAAAATCATAGTTTCTGTTAAACATTAATTTGAAAGATTGCACAGTGCTGTCAGTGAGGTAGCATTAATTTGCTTTACTGTTGTTGCATCCTCCTAAGCAGGTATCCAGAACCTGTACCTCCTTCTTCCCCCTGCTATAACCAATTTGGAAGTGCCCGATTAAACTGAATCACATGATCTAATTATGCGCAATGACTTATACATGATTTCTGCCAATCAGATTGCGAGTTCTTAATCGGGGAAATGCTAACTGCTTATTGCAGGGGGTAAAAAGAAAGAATATATTCTGGATTGTGAAGCCCTGTGATCGGAGGATGCTGTTGTTGTGATCATTGTACCTTACTACAACATAGAATACAACATAGCATTAATGCAAAACTTACCTGCAACAACTAACTCAATACTATCAGAAAGAGCTGTCCCATAAAGATTCTCCGCAAAACACTGGTAACGTCCATTATTTTCTCTCAACTGCGTTACTAAATACTTTCCATCATCCTTCAACCTTGCAATCTCTACACCATCCTTCTTCCATATATACCTGAAATGATCAAATCATTTAAATGATGGAACTTAGAATAAGCCGTCCCCGAAACTCTATTACAATGCACTCTAATCACTGCACAAAAGTTTATGCTAAAAATTCAATTAATGCGTCTCTGCTAAATTTGGATCTGAATTCATCAGTATGTATATTTAGTACATTAATACGAGCATGTAGTAAATTGAATTTTCAGGAAACTACATGTTCATTTACATGTACTTACTCTGGTTTTGGCGTTCCAGATGCAGAACAAGGCAGTTCTATTTGGAGATTTTGACTATACGTGTATATGTGTTTCTGTCCCCATTTTTCAGTTGGCTGCACTTCAATGCTTGGAGGTCTTCGGACTGAAAAAAGAAAATATTTTTTACTTAATGTTAGAAAGCTGAAACGTTGTTAGGCTTTTTGATGAATTTCTGATGTGAGATTAAATAATAGTTCATGAATTTTATTAGTGGAAATAATGCTTTGGAATTAATTGAGTGTCGTGTTTGAACTCCTACACCACTTGAACAAGGGGGTGATTTCAATGTCCCATGATAATGTTAAGCAAACAGTTAGAACAGGGTCTTAAAGTAAATAAATTTCATGAAAAATAGAATTCCGACCAAGCCAGGAAAACAAAAATCTCTGAAAAATAAGCAGAAACTTGAACCAGAACTATCAAAGGCTTTTAAGCCATTCAAGCTTTTTTCAATTATTTTCACAATTGGAGAAAAGTGTTCATGCTTGGTCATTGCAAGATTTTATTTTTTTTGATATTTTCCACTTGCCTTTATATACACTATACTTGTATTAGCCAATTTTAATCAGTTCAAGCGGTGGCCAGGAAAACATTTAAATATGATGTAGATCATTAAGCTTTTAAACCACAGTGCTGTTACAGGATATTTCTCATTGTATTGTTAACATCTTATGAATATTTATAGAATGACACATTTTAGTAAAGGTGCCCACAAACCACCACAATGTGAATCACTACGAGTATGACTGCTACATACATATAAAACTAAAACAGAGTGATATATAAAAGAAGGTTGAAATGTTAAAACTCACTCGTGAAACAGGATTTAGACAATAATGTGCTGGTTAGAGATTCAATATAATGAAAAAAACAAGTGCAGTTTATTTGTCACAAAAACAAACCTAGTCAACAATAAATCATTTGATGGTTCATCGATTGAATAACAATCAATTTATTATCCAATCAAATGATCTCCTCAATCTCTTATAAAGAACCATCTTTCTATTGACTTTAGTAAGGGTATCTGTTTTACAAATGCTGCCATTACTTAATATTGTAGTTCTAAAGGGTTGTAGGATTTTATATTTAATTTAAGTGCATTCTTGCCATTTCTAACGATATTTTCTCTTTTCATTGCAATTCTTAACAATGAAATAAGCAATCAGAAAAGTAGATATAAAGCTTAACTCCTCCACTTCCCTACCACTTCTCTAAACATGCACATTTGTATTAAATGCTTCAAACTCCACTAAAATAACTAATAAAACAGTGAGAAGTTGAGAAAGATGGTGCATTGATAAGAACATCTATAGTAGATTAAGTATGCCAACATTACAGTAAAGTATGGGACATTATAGGACAGTACAATACAGTGTGGTTCAGTATTATATAATACAAGACAGTTCAATTAGAGTCCATTTCACTGCTTCATTTCGTCAGTAGAACGGCAAAAATAAGAAATTGGGAGACCATTGTGCAATAACATATGGAAAAGTGTATTCATAATGTACATGAATGACAGTGCAGTATAATACAATCAGTTATCTAAACCTGATAGCTCTAAAAACAAACATGTATTAACAAAATCACTAATAAGTGACAAACGAAACTAGATTTAACAAATTGTGAATATTCTACTAAAATGAAACCAAACAAACAACAACATGCAATCACTCTAATAATAACTAGACTTACGACTTGGATCTACTGCTGGAACAAATCAAAATACATATTAGCATTGTGCATGCTTTATAATTCATTCATATAATATGACACTCATGCTGTTTATTTGCCCATAAAATAGGAAGCCCCATTTGGGAATATATGTCTTTGATACTTGCTCCATTCATCGGCCGATTGAGTAATTTGTTAAAAATGAATATAATTTTGGAGAAAATACTCAATCAGCTGGGCAAAAGCCTGTGAATAGTAGCAAATGTGACTCAGGCATAACGGGCCTTTGGTTAGTGCTTATGCATATGCCCATGGGCAGTAAACATGGTCACACAGGGTACTTGGGACTATTGCCCATATGGAGCAAAACTGAAATATACACACTATTGTTGATTTCAATAATTCATGATAACCTCGCAACTGAAACTAAACTCCCACATGATTTGTCAGAATGTGGCATGCTTGCAAAGAGACTCAGACATTACCCTTGAATATACTAAAATTATTTGTACTTCCACATTTACAGTAACTGTATGCATCAAGTAGAGTGGTAATCTATGATAATCAATCATTTCATTTCTAATATGCGTTAGTTAATGCATGATGTGGATCTATGCAAATCTAGACATCAAGGTTAATATAACCTTCAAGTCTCTCATTTCATATTATTCTTGTTCAACTCAATTATAATGCTCAAGTGTTTGAAGACAACGTACTTTTTAAGTACACAGTGATATTACAACTAGCATGCTCAGTATGTCTTTTTTATTGATTTTCAGATTGTAATATGTACTTAAAACATTGAATAAATACACCACTTCCAAGTGTCCTGGCTATGAAGTTTTTATATCAGTTGATATATGCAACCTGAATTCAAAAGTTTACTCTAAAAACACAGTTGAACATTCAACATGTTTACCAATGACTAGACATAGCTAGTGTAATTTATTCAGTTTTTAAAAGCAAGCGCAGATTTGAATTTGAATGAGATACACACACCCACTCTCTGAACTGATGGCAATGTACTGTAGTCTAGCTATAAGCCCAATTGTGACGGCTTGGGAGCTCCCCCACTACACATCTCTCAACAAGTGATGTGAGGTGAGATTGGGGGGGGGCAAGACTATGTACCGTACAGTTAAGATAGAATAGGTATGGGTTTCACTGCAGACAACATGCTATTTTTTCAACAAACTCTATTTTCATCAATATGAAAGCAGTTGCAAATTCTTTAACAATGGGTGGATGAAAAACTATAGTCAGTGGTACAATACAAGCACAGCACAGGGTATGATAATGTCTGGGGATTTCTGTATCATATGAGTAGTCTATCAAACAGTATAATTGTAGATTGAATGTGTAAAGATATATATAGGGGGTAGGGCAGGCAGACTTGATGCAAGGCAAAATGAGATGATATAGAATTGTACTTACTGTCTTGAGTCTGTGCTAATACAAGTAGAGCAAGGAAAAGTGTGGCAAACTGCACAGGTGTATTACATAAGTTGCAGCCCATCTTTGAGATATGTCACCAATCTCCAATCAAACTTTATACTATATTCACCTCTGCTTCTGGAAAATAACAAAGTGAATTCAAATATTTATACATGGACTTACAAATTCAACATGAAGAAAAAATGTTAAATTCAACAGTTCTGGATCATAAAAATATCAAACTATTTTTGTTTTATCTTTTTTATGGGGCTTATGGGACCTAACATTGATTTCTTCTTCACTTTCTGTGTTGCTTCTCTTGATTAATTGAAGTATCATCATGCCATATTCACCATAAACATTTATATATCTGTTGATAATCTTCATAGGGAATTTGTGTTCCTGGAACCCAAAGCGTTGGAACATGAGGGCATCAAAGTGCTAGATTTGACAATATTATGTGAGGGCATCAAAGTGCTAGAATTGACAATAACACAAGGGCATCAAAGTGCTAGATTTGACAATATTATGTGAGGGCATCAAAGTGTTGGTTTTGATGATTACAGGAGAACATCAAAGTTGCACACTATATCTAATCATACTAATTTTGTAAAAAATGATCTAATTATTAACATATTATATTGCACTTTACCTTCCTACATAAAATACAATTATGTCAATTAAGATATTATCACTATAACAAAAGTGGTAGCCCGCTGAGGTCATAATATTTAATAGTTCTCCAAACACACGCTCGATACATGTACATGACTGTTATCTGTTCATGTAATTAACCAGTTGATAAAAAATATGGGGCAACCCAACAGGGCTATGATGTTTGAGTTTTAGTAATGACTGAATGTATTAACTGAATGTGATTCTAAACAATAATAAGTCAAAATTGTGTTCAGATTTGAAAATTAGAAAACAAATCTGACCTGGTTTTGTCATGTCCTAAAGAGGTTGAAAATGTTTAATACTATGAAATATTGAAGCACAGATATGAATAAAGAAGCTTTACTATTCTATAGATTTGATTTCCCTAATGGCTTCCTAAACCACTGTGAAAAAACCTCTAATATTGTTTTGTCAATTGAGTACTATAGTACATTATTAGGATGACTAATTCCCATAAAAGGGCATTTTTACAATTTGTGGGGGCGTCCAATAAATTAAAGTCCAATACAAATTCAAGTTGACACTTACTTCACTGTATAAATATAATACTGAGGTAAAGATCTCATCCAAATCAAAACTGATTCATATCATGTCATTTCAATGTTATCAACTTAAATCTCCAAAGTATGAAGTTTTTATGATTGAAAATCTAAGTAATAAACGAGTTTGTGTTGTAGTCAATTAACATTAACTAAGAATTGTAAGACATGTAGATGGTCTAAAAAACAAGCTCTATTGTATTTATTCATGAGGTCATGAACTATTGATTCTTGAGGTTGTTCACTGGAAATAAGCTCCTTTTGTTGTACTGAGATAGCCAGCCCATTAGTTAACTCCTAGCTTCTATAGCAAGACTGTAATTACTCAGCCTTGCATGACCTTCGATTATTGCCACCAATAAATAGTCTCCCAATATGACATCAAACCCTAGAGAGGTCTATTTAAACTTAATTACTATAAAATGTTTTCCCATGTTGCAACTCATGCTTCGTTGGTTATCATTTAATAGATGAGCTTGTGAAACGCAAGGCAATTGACAGAAAAGGCATCAAATGGTAAAATGATGTCTCATTCTCACTCTCAAGTTTGGCTTTCGTGAAATAAAAGAATCTCATATATTGAAAATCCAAGATACAATAATGCAATAGTATTGTTCTGCAATCATATTGTTATGCTTCAATAACAAGTAATACGCATTTCTAACCAAGCCTTCTTTGATATTTAAGATCATGTGTTATTCTAGAAGCAAAAAGATCAATCATTCACAATGAATATTCAACTCACTTTTCTGGGTAACCCAATACCATCAATATCAGCTGCATTAATTCTAACAATGCACTGCATGCTGATGTGGTTAAATGCAGCCTGTTGCGTTATATCAGTGCTCATACACTCATAGATGCACCAGACTGTATAAAAGATAACTTTTACTTTAATAACCTAAGGTACATACAGTTTAGAATACATCATTTTTATCAAAATTGCTTGATATTCAATTTCAAATTTTTGTAAGATGTAAAGATGACCCAAAGGTCTACAAACAGATATTTAGCTGTCCTTAAAATCTTTACTTCAAAACACTTTCAAATGTTTGAATGTATTCAATTATAAAGCTTAAATGTAGTAAATACCTTCCAATGGCCGCACACGACTCTTGAGAACCTAAATGAACTAACTTAAAAATATGTGGAGAATACCATATTGCAAACTATTGTAACCACTTAATAGCACAATTCACATTGTTACTAGAAAATATTGATTTATATTTCTTTAATCCTCTGATCAATTGATAGATTAATATCCTCTAGGGTCTATTTCCTCAAACATTTCATCAATGGTCATATCTTTACATACACACACTAGAGTTCTAAAGGAGCATTTTGGGACATGGATCTTAACTTCTTAAGGCCTCATTACCCTGTCCAAATCATCAGGTCTTACATACTCTGAAAAAGGCTGATAAATTTGCAAATGCTGACTCTTAAGATCTTAATGAAATCAAGCATATTTTTGATGGCGCTTTATATGATTTTGAATTCAATATAAAATCTGTAAGCTACTACTTATCGGAAGAAAATGTTGGGCAGAGATAAAATGGTATATTCTGAATTGAAAAAGGTAAGATCAAAGAAATATTTTAATAAAGAGTGTAGTCAAAATTGTCAGCTCTTGTAAAGGGTAAGGTCTCATGTGCCCATCTAACTCATGAAGAGAGCCCTGAGGAGCATACATGAAAGAGTATGTCTCTCTGATGATGATGTACATATTGTTGTTTAGATAGATAATTGATAACAAGGATGAAGTTACTTTATTGAACCTAGGTGTTTATAAACAGCCTTTGATATCCCTGTGTTAGCTACTTTAACACTAGAGTGTGAACACTATGAAATGCAGATTTTCTGATAAGGGATTACTGCACAGCATAGCAATGAGATGATTCAATTCTGCATTCTAGTAGGATGAAATTTCCAAAATTCGTTTCTAGAGGGAAAATCTGAAAAGTAAATGAAAACCCTATAAGCTCGGTCAGTATTGGAAGATGACAGATGTTGTCTTCCCCTAACTCTTAACTACTTCTGCCATGCAGTTTTGAAATATTGATCACATCAAACTTTTAGAACATAATTATTTTATATCATGCATGAACACCATTATCCAATGATATATTCTTCCAGAAAGGATACAGTAATGTGCATGATTGGATTAAAAATATTGAAATCAACCTTTACCATGATACCTTTCTTAAAGAGAATGTAATGAATGACCTTTACCTTCTCCTGATACTAATCACCGATTCAATAATAGGAAATAATGAAATACAGCTCACAAGGACATAAAATGGTCATGACATATTTCATCACAATAACTTAACTTTGGTAGTAAGAAGAGCTGTTATTGGTGAAGCCATAGTTAGGGAGAGTAATGTAACTATGTCTCTCCTTTGCAATGGTATCTTTAACAGTTTGAATCCTCATCTTTTAATATAAACAGAAATCTTCATCTATAGCTATCACATCTAACTACTGGGTTGATGAGGGTCATTATAGGAGGGGGCTATTAAAGATCCCAAACAATCACCTTGAATTAACTTGAAATGGTTTAGCATGTAGTATTGTGACATGACCCCTTGGCAAAACATATAACCACATATTCATGTATCGAAATGTTTCAGGGAAAGATGACTCAGATTTAGTGATTTTGTATTCAGCATGTGGTGAAAATCATTGAACTGATTGTCAATGTAAGTAATACAGTAAGTTAAACTCCTACTATACAGTACATTCGGGTCATGTATCAATGAGCATGATATGTAGTAAATAGTATTCTTTATACAGGAGTTTCATTAACATCTAGGCCAATAGGACATAGTACTTAAAAACATACTAGGAGATATTCCTAAAGGCCTCCTCACACAGGAACGTAAAAAAAACCTGACGTCAACTTACATGTACTGGTGAAATAGACACGGGTAAAAATTGTTCCCATTAGTATAAGTACATTTTACATCATTTGGGTGTTTGTATCTGAAATTACACTTTTGGAAAGCTTCTGAAGAATGTGCAAAGTAGCGCTTTGGTTCGCATATAATGTTCCTGATTGCCAGAATTGACAATTTACCTAATTCTCAAGGCTGCATTTAGTGACTTTGTTCTGTGAGGAGAGGAGGCCTTTAAAGACTGATATTCCCTCAGTCAAGTTTCACTGTAAGATTGGACTATTAAGACTAAACTAACATATGCTGTGATAACACCATGTACAATGCACGTAATTAAATGGAAGTCTACATATCACAGAACAGCATTTCATTATTTTATCACATTATTATCCATTATCTTATTATAGACTACAGAAATGACTGATTAGTAGGATTAACACCAGTTTTACCATATGCCCCTACAATACCTTTACACGACCCTCTGTTCTCCCAACTTAGTGCTTACTATTGTTATATTGAAAACTATGATGGAAGAAACTTCAGAGTGAAATGAATTGTCCAATGTTAAAAATATGTAACCTACATGTAATTTGATAACCAGGTATATGACCATAAAACCATAAGCTGACAAAGGCACTATTGGATGTTGACCTGCTGATGCTACCCCCCCCCCCCCCAGTCCACATACTCCCCTACAACTATCCTGTTTGGATAGAGAACTAAAATTTAGGGATTTGATGCATCTTATCCATACATCAATCAAGTTTCAGAACACTACCCCCCTCCCTCCTTATATCCCTATTTTCCTCACCTCCATCTGTGAGGGTAAGGCATGGCTAGACTAAAAGTAACTGTAAAGTGAGGTCATTATGCTGCATTTATTGAAGCAGGAAATCATCATAGGTAATAATACAATCAATATAGAGTCCCCATGATTAGACTATTATCATATCTATATATTCAATTGTAAAGGTTCTTCAAATTTAGAATTTATAAAACTGCCAAAACATATGAGAAGAACATA